GCTGTAGAGGGCAGTGTCACTAGCCCTCATATGTGGGATCCGAACCGGGGCCCTCTGGCGTCCCAAGCCAGTTCTTAACCATCACGCCACTCGGCCAGCCCACTTTTTCCATTCTTTTACTTTCAGTCTGTTGTGTCTTTAAATTTGAGGTGTGTTTCTTGTAGACAGCATGTATATGGGTCTTGTTTTCTTATCCATTCAGCTATCCTATGTGTTTTGATTGGCACATTTAATCCATTCAATTTAAAGTGATTATTGAAAGATACATAGTTATTGCCATTTTATTATTCATCTTGAGGTTTTGTTTTGTTTTGTTTTTTTAGATTTTATTGGGGAATTGGGGAAGGGGAACAGCCAAGTTATTGTCATTCAATCTTAGCTGAGCTCCAAGTCCAGTCACCATCCAGCCGCCCATCAGCAGCTCACAGCTGCTCAGCTCAAGGTGCTGTGTTCAATCTTAGTTGCGGGTGGGCGTTGTCCACCATCCCATGCAGGAGTCGAACTGGCACTCCTGTTGTTAGGAGCATGTGCTCTCACCAGCTGAGCCATCCTGCCACCTGTTGGCAGCTCAGCTCAGGGTGCAGCATCACTGGCTCATGTGGGAATTGAACCAGCGACCCTGTTGCTCAGAGCTCGCACTCTTAAGCTAACTCTTAACCAACTGAGCCACTCGGCCAGCCCCAAGTTGTTTTTTTTTTCATCTTCTCCTTCTTCTTCTTCTCTTGTTCTTCTCCTCCTCCTCCTTCTCCTTCATAAAGAAGTCCCTTTAACATTTCTTGTAATACTGGTTTGATGGGTATGAACTCCTTTAGCTTTTTTTTTGGTCTGGGAAGCTCTTGAACTCTCATTCAATTTTAAATGGTAGTCTTGCTAGTTTGAGTACTCTTGGTTGTAGGTTGGTACTTTTTATCACTTTGAATATTTTGTGCCAATCCCTTCTGGCCTGTGAAGTTTCTGTTGAGAAATCAGTTGACAATCTTATGTAAGCTCCCTGATAGGTAAATAACTGCTTTTCTCTTAGTGCTTTAAAAGAGTTCTCTTTGTCTTTAACCTTTCACATTTTAATTATAATGTATCTTGGTGTTTACCAGGTTAGGCATTAGTAAGTTGCAGCCTGTTATTCACTTCTCAGAGTGCATTAGCAGGTTACATTTTGTTATGCACTTCTCAGAGGCGCCTGTGGCTTCAGTTATTCTTTCCTCTTCACGGATCAGTGGGGGTGGAACGTTCCCTGAACTGTTCCACAGGCTGTGAGAACCCTGTCAGCTCACAGCCTGTTCCCCTCATTGAGCGCTGGTTTCTGTTTGCATGTCAAAAGGAGGGATCAACCCTCAGGCTTAATGGTTGTGAGGACTGGCCTTAACTACAGTGGCAGAGCTGTTGTGTAGGGTCTGACCCCATGGAGCAGGATTGGCTTTAGCAAGGGCTCTGGTGCTTGCCCAGTCTGCCCTTTGGGTGTGTCATCTGTGAAGGCAGTTTGGTGGTGCACGGGCTCAGTCTGAATTCAGCCACTTGGTGTGCCAGCCACTGGGTGTGCTGGCCCTGCTGCCTCCTGTGAGGGGCCCCACTGCAGGCCAAGTTCAGCTGCAGCCTGCGCCCTGCCCAGGGCCATCTTGCATGAGCCACAAAGCAATTCATAGATGGCCACCACCTGCACTGGGTTAAGAAGTGCCTTGAGAGGCCAAGCCACAAACCAAGGCCAGCTCCTGCTAAAGCCATAATTGGGGCTGCTCATCAAGTGGTATGGGATATGCTGAGGCCAGATGTTGCTTGTTTAGGTTTTGTGAAACTTTGAGAGGTCTTAAGAAAGTCCGCAGTATGAGCCAACACAGGCCATTTGTATGGGAAAGCCATTGGAAGCAGTTTGAGTGGCTCCACAAGTTGGATGCAGCAGGGTCTCAAGGAATCACCAGGGTTGGGTGAGCAGCGTTAGCCAGTTTGATGGAGACACAGATATGGCAGCTGCCTGCATCTGCATGCTGGGAGACAGGAAGCCCTCAACAAAGAAATAATGGATTCTGCCAGCACTTCTGTATGGGAGAAAACTGTCTCTCTAGCCATCACCCTGAAACCAGACAATTCGGTTCCTTCCTGTATGTCTCTGACACCTTTCAAGCTACTGCCCCAGAGCTGACGCTCAGAGCCAATGAGTCCATCAGTGAGTAGGTCCATGTGTGGGCCCTTTAAGAGGAACACCTGGGACTGTAGCAGCCCTCCGTCTCACTTAGCCACAATCTCCTCTGGTTTTCACAGCCAGAAGTTGTGGAAACTTTCTTCTCGGCACTGGAACCTTGGCTGGGGCACTTGGTGTGTATCTGGGACTCCTTGTTCCTCATGGAGACCTCTTTAGCTGAGGTATCACTCCTGTTTTTTAACTACTACATGTTGAGTGTGGGACCAGCCCATTCCATGTCTCTACCCCCATGTACAAGTCTTGAGGTGGCTTGTTTTGTATGTCCTTAGTTGTTGGACTTCTGTTCAGCTAGACTTCAAGCAATTCTCAATAAAGGTTTTTCTATAGTTTAGTTGTAATGTTGATGTCATTGTGAGAGGCATAAGCACAGTGTTTACCTACTTCGCCATCTTGACTGGAAATCCTTTTATCGGTTGTTTTACTTATTAGTAGCATCTTTTTAGTATCCAAGGTACTGACATTTTTTAGAATTCTGGAAAAAGTGAAAATAAAACAAAATAGAATAAATAGTGAGTAAATATTTTAGGATGAATATTAACCTAATAACTCTTCTATAATATAGTGTGCCACTCAGAAACTCAAGATAAAAATCTAAACTCTTTCATATTATTTCAAAGACTATATATAATCAGGCCCCTCCCTACTTCTCCAGCCTTCCTCCTTCTATCCCTCAAATTTCACCCTGTGATCTAGTTATACTAAGCTTATCTTTATTTTCTTTCCTGCTCCCCTTTTCAACCTAGCTGATCATGCTTCAGGTCAAAGAGTTAGTGTCATTTTCTGTGGGAAACCTTTGCTGTTTTAGTGCCTATGTGACCTCCCACAAAAGACTAAATGTATGGTCCTTACAGCACTCTACTATTATACCTATTGAATTATCTTTAAACTCCTTAGGACAGGGCCTTACCTTTCTTGTTTACCTTTGTAGCCTCAGAATAGTGCCTGTGAATATTTAACAAAGTTTTCTAAAATTGGAAGAACAAAGGGCCTTCAGTGACCATAGTGGCCTTACCAGATTTTCTGGTTAGCTCTGTTACTGTTTGTGATTAATTCTAACCCATTTTATGACTGTAAAAATACTGAGATTGACTGAATTTTTTCTCATTCCTTCTCTTTCTATGGTTACTTCATTTTTCTGCATTCAGTTTGTTAATCTGTAAAATGGAGGTAATAGTTGATGCAGGGTTGTTGAGAGAATTAAAGAAGAACCAGGAGGCAAGAAGTGGCTTCAAATTTGTGACTCAGGATTCTTGCTGTTATAGATGCAGGGCTCTTAGTAATAGCTGGAGGTCATTATTGCTCTGGTGATTAGGCTCTAATAGTCCTAAAAGATGATTTTTCCTTGATGCTTTTTTTCTGTTTTACTTGTCCTCTAATAGTGTCTCAGTCGTGAACAAGGTATTCAGTGGATCAAAAAAGAAAGACTTCCAGCATTTCTGGAAAGTGATTGCTACTTTGAATACAGGTTTGTAGTTCCATCAATGTAAATATTTTTAAATGCCTATTTTTTTTTACCCCAAATCATTTTTCTATACTTGCTTAATAAAATTCACCTTTAAACCCACTTGAGTTTGGATCCTACACAATATAGTATTAGAATGTTAGGGAATTAGTTAAAATCACTTAACTTTTCTAAAGAGATTTCACAGAAACAATACCTAATAAGTGTACTTCAGCTGTGCTTCTTTACTCATGGTATTTTTAGAATTATCTACTTGTGATAATGGTATTTATGAACAGGGTATTAAAAAATGCAAATAAGTGTGTCATGAAAAACAATGTCATAGTGTAGAGCTAAGTTTTTCTTTTATGTTCCCTGACTTTTAAAGTGTAAGTACCTAAACTTTCTGAAATTTTACTAAAATTTGACCTTTGCTTAGAGAAACCATTTTTTAAATAAAAATAAAATAAAACAGTATAATTATTAACTAATTAGCAGTTCTATGAATAAGCCATTACATTTTAGCAGATCTTAAGAGAATCGTCCTGCATAGTTAGGAGGGGCTATTGGCTTGAATGTGTAAAATAAAATTTTAGTGGTTTTTTTTCCCCCCTGAATTCTACCATATTTGAACTTATTTGAAATTTATATGAATTCTAAAATGCAGGTTAGCCAAACTGATGTCACAAGTGAGATGGAGTACATCAGGCATGAATATCACACTAAGTACAGATTTTTCTCCCTGGGTCCTGAGAAAACCACCCTCTCCACCACCTCCTCCCATTGATGATGACAATGTTATAATTATGAAAAAGTTCTACATTTCTCTTGGCGAGGTAAAAGTATGAATGTTTTACTTTATGACTTGGCACTTCTGTAGAACTTCTCACTTTAAGGAGATGAATTTCATTCGTATTACTTGAACAGGGAAATTTATTTCAAATACTTCTAAAACAGATTTAACAAAAATTCTTGTGGATTTATGCTGACTCATTTGTTCTACACTCCTTCATCTGACATATAATTAGAATTATTATCCTCATGTGTATAAAGAAACAAATGCAAGATTGAAGAACATGCTCAGTGTCACCCGGGAAGCATGGGTAACTTGAATTATGTCCATGGTTTCATTGTTCATTCCAAATTTTTATTATTTGGATTATATAACTGTTGTACAAAAAGATGATAAATTGGGTCTTCTCCTCCCTATGTCAAGATTATTTCTCGGTAATATAATGCATTACTGTTTAACTGTTATTTATTTATAAATTTGTCCTCCTTTATTGGAGAATGTTAATGTTAGGTTGTATGAGATCTAACCTAGAATCAAATATCCTTTTGGAGAATCATGGTATAATGAAAACTGTTATTTGATCTTCGGCTTCTAATAATCAGATCTCTCTGGGATCATACTTCCAATACACAATTCTGTACAAAATCAGGAATGTCAAATAGGTGTATGGGCCATGTGTTGATATTCTCCTGGTTTCTATTCATGGCAGACATTGCTAATCAATCATGGCAATTTTCCTACTGAGCTAGGATGTGGCTCCAAATTCTTTTCAATACAGTACTTTAGGCAGGCACTTTCAATTGATCAAAGATGTCATGCAAGAGGAAACTATTTGCCATCTCTGTTGGAATGGATAGATTTATCCTATCTTACCGATCATTTGTTTTCATGTGTAGCTTCTATTTAATTTTGTAGTTTGGCATTTCTATCAGTGATATTTGTTAAAAATGTTTAAAATTAATATTTCCAAAGACATATTTTAGGGTGGCAAAACTTTGGTCCCCCTGACAAGCTTTTATCCACCCAGAAAACTTTACCTCTGAGAAGAGCAATGACTACATAGATGGCACCTCTCATTTCTCTCACTTGCTTTTTGTCTCATTGTGTGGCCTGAGTTGCCCTGCTGATTCTGCTAATACTCAGAGAACAGTATCCATTTCATTTGAGCCCTGCCTCTTCTGTGAGTGTTTGTTAGGCTAAGGACCAAGCAGCTGAATCAGAGAAAGGAGAAATGAGAGTAATGCTGGAAACACCCTTCTCTGCTTCTGTTGAACAAACCTGAGTTCTCTTAGAAAAATAGAGGAGGACGTTACTGAGAGAGGCAGGCAGAGGAATTTTTCCCAGAAGTCTGAGATAAGGAGCTTCTGAAGACTGGTTCTAGAAGCTGAGGTTCAGCTTGGGAATTGGGTCAACTTGCTCAAGGGTACACAAACTAAAGAGCAAATTGAAGGCTGCATCCCAGGGCAGGTGGAGTCAGGAGTCAGTCTCCAGGAAATCTAATCCAAGCAAAGTGGTGAAAACTGAATCTAAGGCAAAGTGGCAGATGTGCTTGGAGAGGTTTCCTGTGCTACTGAGAGTAAGTCTTTGTCATATTAGGGAGGAGTTATTAAAAACACTGAGCCAGGTCATACAGAATTAGGGGCATGAATAATTGGGAAGGTTGCAAATGGGAGCAGCTGGCATCCAAGATGCATCCACGGACTGATGAGAAATGGTGACTGCCAAGTTAAATTTAGATGGCATGAATTTGTAGGAATCTAGGAAGTAAGGTTGCATGCCTTTGGTAGAAGAGTGGAGAAAAATTTCATGTGTATTGGGCCCATTTTTTTCCTTTGGTCATCTCATAAAAATTATTTGAATGAAATTTTCTTCCCATTATTTTCTTAGCTAATGAATTTTTTTACATACAACCTTCTTTTATTTAATGGCGTAATTTCCCCCTTATATATTGTACTATGCAAGTTGAATAATGATTTGTCCAGGTTTGTGATTCGAAGAATACTGCTAATCTTATGTTAAACAAATGTATTCTTTCATTTTAGGCCTCCTACACTCAAGCAAAAGATTGGTTTACATTAGCAAAACAAAGTCAGCAAACAGTATCAACCTTTTCGTTACCGTCTTATATACTCCATAGCAAAACTGAATCACCAGTTATTTCATCTGTTTCTGGTAAGCAGAAAAGGACAAGAATGACTTCAAAACTTCTCATTAAGTTTTCTGTTGTTGTTCTAATCTTACAGTACAACACTTAGTGGTTGGGAAGACAAAATTATCTTTCCCACTGCCCCCCAACTCCACTTTCTACTATTTATCAAGAAGTAACTTGGTATAGTGAAAAGAGGATGGGTTTAGCACTCAGCTCTGATATTTAATAGTTGTGTGACTTTTGTAAGTTATTTCACTTCTGGGAGCCTTGCTTTTCCTATCTGTAAATTTAGAATAACGATACATGCTAAATGTATAGAAAATGTGATCTAGTGCTTGGTACCTAAAAGGCAGTCAATAAATATTTGTCTTGTCTTATTTCCTATCAGAGTTTACAGGTTCTTATTATTAAACCTTTGAAATAAAATAGTGTAATCTTTATCTTCTCTTAAAAGTAAATAGTCAGTCATGGAACTTGAGTTTTCCTTCCGCTTTTTTTTTTTTTGAAGATTTTATTGGTGAGTTGTGGGGAGGGGGACAGTGTTGGGGAATCAGGGAAGGGGAACAGACAGGTAGACAAATTGCTGTTTTTGTTCTTCAGTCTAGTTGTGTAGGACTTCGCTTCACTGGCCCATGTTGGTATGATCATTGTGCTCTTCCCTGATGAGGCAGATCGGTCGCCAGTCATTGGTTGGCCACTCACAGTGGCTCTTGGCAGCTCACACTGGCTGCCAGCCGATCATGCTGGCTGCCAGCCACTCATGTAGCTCATGGCAGCCCACTGCAGCCCCACTGCAGCCTATGCCGTTGCTGGCGACTCACAGCAGCCCAGCTCCAGGTCAAGCTGTTGTTCATCATCTTAGCTGTAGAGGGCAGTGTCACTGGCCCTCAATGTGGGATCCGAACTGCAGCCCTGCTGCTCAGAGCTGGCGCTCCCAAGTGAGGTCTTAACCAGCTGAGACACTCAGCCGGCTCTTCCTCCTGTTTTTAAGTTTACATTATTTTTCATCTTGAAAAGCAGATAAATTTCTATTGTGGGGAACTTTTGTGGATGATACAAACTTTTCATAAAAATAGAAGGAACCTTCTAGAAACGGGAGTCATTAACCTACGCTATTACTGAAGAAAAAAATCTAGCAATGTGATTCAGGAGAGGGACTCAAGCAATTCACTAATAGTTCTTACCTAATTCCTTTGAAAAGTATAAGCACCCTCTTGGGATGGTAAATCTGGATTCTCTAAAATTGAACCTAAAATCTAGGTGAAGAGGAAAATAACTCCCTAGTTGAAAATAGCTAAATGTATAGGTTTCTTGCAGTTTTCCCAAAATAGTAAAGTAGAAAATTGGCGAGTAGAGATAGTGAAGATAGTAAATAGGAAAAGAAATGGTAGCAGGAGTGGGTGAGCAGAAATGTCAGCCTTGCTCTCTACGTCCAATTCTGTGGGATTGAATGTGTATACCAATATCCTTTCATAGGTTCCAAAAGTCTAATCTCTCGATATTAGGGAAATTTGGTATATTTGTTTTCAATAAAAATTGTAATGGAACATTTCCAGTTCATTGAGATTTAAAATCTATTACTGAGAAAATGGTCATTGAGGATGGAACACAGATAACAACAGAGTTTTCCTGATCTATGGCATTTCACGGGGGTAGATTTGCCATGTGAAAGCACTGACTTCAGATATTTCACTGATTTCTGAAAGAAAGAGAAAATAGGAGCTAAAGATGGTATCTTTAGAAAAAGTATAAAAACAATCCATTTGTATTTGTAAGCTTTTATAACCACCTTATGCTATTTTATAATTTTAATGATAGGTTGTAAGTATGATAGTAATTGAGTCTTTCTGATAAAGTAGTGAATTTTTAAAAAATTGCTGATATAACTCCAATTCTTATTTGTTCATTTATGGTCTTATCATCTATGGTAGCTACTTTACTTTATCATATAACATGAAATATTAAAACACATACAGGCATACCTCAGAGATATTATGGGTTTGGTTCTGGACCACAATAATAAAGCAAATATCACAATAAAATGAGTCACACAAATTTTGGGGTTTCCTAGTGCATATAAAATTTATGTTTACACTATACTGTAGCCTATTAAGTGTACAATAGCATTATATCTAAAAATGTATATAGCTTAATTTAAAAACACTTTATTGCTAAAAAAAAATGCTAACCATCATCTGACCCTCAGCAAGTAGCAATCTTTTTGCTGGTGGAGGGTCTTGCTCTAGTAACATCAAAGATCACTGATCACAGGTCACTGTAACAAGTATAATAATGATGAAAAAGCTTGAAATATTGTGAGAATGACCAAAATGTGACACAGAGACATGAAGTGAGCAAATGCTGTTGGAAAAATGGTGCCAGTAAACTTGTAGCACTCAGAGTTGCCACAAACCTTCAATTTGTAAAAAACACAATATCTGTGACGTGCAATAAGGCAAAGCACAATAAAACGAGGTGTGCTTGTACAGTCATTTTACGTACATATTCTAATTATTAAGTCGATTTGTTCTTTATATATTGACATTCTGAATCAGCCTACGCTTTAAAAATGTTACATTTCTAAAGTGTATGGTATCTTTTTGCAGATCCTGTGTATTAGGGATGTCAAATATATAGTCCATCTGCCGCTATTATCCCCTTCCATGTCCAGGGAAGATGTGGCTAATCCCTGTTCGTGGTTTTCTTGCTTTGGACTCCTCTTTAAGACACTGGTCTGTGCAGTCACTACCTGTGATAAACCCTTTGCTATATTGGCTATATAACATCTAGTTAATAAAAAAATATCTTTTGTATTCATATCTGACCTAATAACCTTTTATGATTTAATACAGAGAGTTTTATCTTTGATGATGGAGTTCATCCCAGGACAAGAAAGGACCCATCTAAAACCACTAGATTAATTTCTGAATTTGAAGAAGATGGGTCTGTATCTCTACAAGACACTCCTTCTCAAGCTCTTCTGAGAGTATACCTTGAAAAGCAACAGGATGTTGGTGAAAGCCTGACATTGCATTTCTCATCATGTGAAGAATTTTTAAGATCTTACGTAACCTTTATTTTGAGAGCAGCAATTCATCAAATTCTTGGAGAGCCATTTAGAGAATGCCCAGGTTATATCAATTTCAGAAATGTAACAGGAGTGGTATTTGATGACTGTTTTCAGTTTATTCCTGGCAAGAATGTTTTGTTAAGTGAAACAGTTCAACTCACAAAGGAAAAGGAAGAAGAGATGATAGAAGAAGCAACTTCAAAGAGTGAGAACATTGGATCAGAAAGCAGGGCTGATTGGTGTATTTCTCACAAAACTTATGACATTGGCAATAGAAAGGAGTTTGAAAGATTTAAGAAATTTATAAAAGGTACATTAGGGGAGAGATATTTGTGGCTATGGATGGATATTGAGAGGTTAAAAGTTCTTAAGGATGCTGGAAGACATCAAAGGTATTTCTATTTTTTATTTTTCAGTAGTTTTAAAAACAAATTGTAGAATATTAGTTTGGATCATTTAAACACAGGTAGGAAGCCTGAAATAAATATAAAAATGTAATTTATACTTTCAGAAGAATGAATAATAATAAAATTATTTTATTATGGTAATATTGATTTTACTACTTCTATGATTCCATAGCTCTCAAATACTAACAGTAGCAATTATTTGGGTTTGCATAAGTTTCTTCCCATAGATTCTAAACCTGTTTTCAAATTAATCATTCTATTTTATTTTTATAACATTGCAGTGATATATTTTTATAGAATAAAAATTATCAATTATATACCACACTAGCATGAGATACCTTATATGAAAGATACCTTGTGACAATGTATGGGGCCGACTGTTCCTAGCAGCCTGCTTGGTTAACAAATTCCATGATCTTATTTGGATGTCACTTAGACATTTATATCTGAATGAGATATCTGCTAGATATCATACTGGATATCCTCTAGGCAGCTTCTTGGATGGGGTGCAGGTCTTTGTTTCGTTGCTCCATATGTTTTAGATTACTGTGAGTCTTAAGAACCCTAAGAGGACCCTGCTTTAGGAAAGTCCTTATTGTCTACGTTCTCCTGATCTGCTCTAAAGCACATCAGCTACAGTAGACTGCAATGCCCACTAAGGATTTGTCTGAATATACACTAGTGACTGGGTTATTCCAATTATTTCAGTGACATTCAGATCATAGAGCTCATTGTTATACATAGTTATAACTGCAGGGGTTACCAAATGGTTATTTGATGGTGGAAGGCCACTACCACTTTTCAAGACATATTAGGGAAGTTATATGCAAGCAGCCTACATAGGTTCTTCAGGATCAACATTGCATTAGTTCCTATTGTTGCTATAACTAATTACAAATTTAGTGGCTTAAAGCAACACAAATTTCTTACATTTAGGAGGTTAGAAGTCTAAAATGGATATACAGGGTGGCATTCTTTCTGGAGGCCTTTGGGAAGAATTCATTTCCTTGCCTTTTCCAGCTTCTGAAAGCCACCTACTTTCCTTGGTCCCTGGCCACTTCCTCCATCTTCAAAGCCAACAGCATACCATCTTCTCTTTTTCCTGACCTTTGCTTCTATCTTCACCTATTTCTTCTATGACTCTGACCTTCTTGCCTCCCTCTTAGAAGGACCCTTGTGATTACATTAGGCCTACTTAGATAATCCCAGATCATCGCGATATCTTAATTACATCTGCAGAATCTCTTCTAAGGTAAGGGAACATTTATAGGTTCTGGGGATTACAACGTGGACATCTTTGCAAGGCCATTGTTCAACCTACCAAAAATACTCTTCCCATTCTCATAACAATGAGAAATACCTTTATTTTATCTCCACATTGGCACACCTCTAACACAGTGTTGGTCTTGAGATAGTTCATTACTTGTCTCAAACATTTCAGAAATGAAAATATTTGGCTAGTTGAATATTGTATCAATGTGTGTATATGTGTGTATGTGTTTTATTGCAGACATCTTGAGAAGATGAAAAAATGCTATTTAGTGAGCAATGGAGATTGCTATCTTTCTGCAGAAATCCTAACAAAATTTAAACTGCTAGATGGATCTCAGTGGAATAAAGAACACTTAAAAAATATTCAGACTGAAGTTGTAAAACCCTTACTTCTATATTGGTAAGAAAAATATTATAAATCAAAGTTACTTGCTTTCACTTTTCCTACGCTAGTTACAAGTTATACTTTTTTTGCCATGAATATATATCTTATGGAAATTTAAAATGAGAAGATTATTATATCTTTGGCCTTCGTTAAAGTACTTCTCCTTTAGATAATTTGGATGTTTGGGGACTTTAAATCTATAATAGGGCTGGACAGTACTTAAGCTTCATGTTAACTTTATGAGCACATCCTTCTACACCTGATCTTTTTACGGCTGGCATCATTAAATTGGTGTGTGTGTGTGTGTGTGTGGTGTGTGGTGTGTGTACATGTAGCTAGAACTACCAATTGATTATTTTGAGCACTTAATATAGGCCAAGTGCTGTGCTTAGGATACAAGGGTAACACATGGTCAAATCTAGTATTTATAGTCTAGTGGGAAGAACATACATGTGAAATAAGTATGACAAAAAAGTGTGAACACACAAGATACAGAGTAGAAGTAATATTTCAACTAGGACTTGAGGGACTCTAAGCAAGGAGAAGAGAATGGACACAGTGGAGAAAAGGTGTGCCACTTGAAGATCAGTGAGCTCTTCATCCTGGCTATGATAGATCTGATTATGTCACTGCTTTAAATCTTTCACTGGTAACCCAAAGCTTTCATTGTATAGTTGAGATTCCTTAAGTTAGCAAGTAAGGTCATCATGATTTGCCCCTTGCCCACTTCTCTGTCAACATGTCCCATCTATGTAGTCCAGATTACTTCTATGCTTTGTACTATTCCATAGATAAAATGTTGTTTTTCTCTTTATTTCTTAAAAAAAAAACAACGTATTTAAGATACAGAAAAGTATAAACTATACCATAGTCATTTTCTCTGTACACAACCACCCAACTTAATAAAACATTACTAATACAGTAGAAACTTTTCTAAATTTAACTTTTTATTTTGAAGTAATTGTCAATTCATATTTAGTTATAAGAAATAATACAGATTCTGTGTACCTTTCATCCAGTTTCCTCCAATGGTAACATCTTGCATAACTACAATAAAATGTCACAATGAAGACATTGACATTGATAAAACTCACCAATATTTTTCATATTTTATGAGTTTTATGCATTTATTTGTGTGTGTATATAGTTCTATGCAATGTTATCACATTAGAGATTCACGAATTTGCCACTACAGTCAATGTACAGAATAGTTACATTACCACAAGCATCCCTTGTACTGCTATCTTATAACCAGACTCACTTCCCTCTCTCCTCATCCTCCCTGATCTCTAGGAATCATTAATCAATTATATAAATGAAATAATACAATATATTACCTTTGGGAGTTATCTTTTCTTTTTTTTTAATTGGGGAATTGGGGGAGGGGAACAGACAAGTTGCTGTCGTTTTGTTCTTCAGTCTAATTGTGGAGGACGTTGCTTCACTGGCCCAAGTTGGCACCATCATTGCGCTCTTCCCAGGCGAGGCAGATCAGTCGCAGGCTTCTGGATGGTCACTCACTGCGGCTGCTGGCCGCTCAGGCTGGCTGCTGACTACACACGGTAGCCCATGGCAACCCACCTGCCGTCGCAGGCCACTCATGGCAGCCCAGCTCCAGGTTGAGCTGTTGTTCAGCATCTTAGCTGTAGAGGGCAGTGTCACTGGCCCTCATATGTGGGATCCGAACCGGGGCCCTCTGGCGTCCCTAGCCAGCTCTTAACCAATGCGCCACTCAGCCGGCGGGGGGGGGGGATCTTTTTTTCATTCAGTATAATTCCCTTGAGATCCATCCAAGTTATGTGTATCAATAATTCTTTTTCATTGCTGAGTAGTATTCTATTGTATGGATAATACACATCCATTCATTCATCGAAAGGCATTAGGGTTGTTTCCAGTCTTTTGTTATTACTAATAAAGCTGCTATGAATGTTCGTGTACACTTTGCTGCATGAATATATGTCTTCATTTCTCTGGGATAAGTGTCTGAGAGTGAGATTAGTTGGCCATATAGTGTTTATTTTAATTTTAAAAGAAGCTGTCAAACTATTTTTCAGAGTTGATATATCATTTTACATTCCCACCAGCAATGTATAAATGATCCAGTTTTTCTGCAACGTTGCCATTATTCGATGTCACAATTTTCTATTTTAGCCATTTAATAGGTGTGTTGTGATACCTCATTGTGGTTTTACTTTGCAATTCTCCAATGGCTAATGATGCTGAACATATTTTCATGTGCTTATTTGACATTTGCATATCCTCTTCAGTGAAATACATGTATCTGTTCATATCTTTGGTCCATTTTCTAATTGGATTGTTCTCTTGTTGAGTTTTAGAGTTATTTTTATTTTCTAGATACTAGTCCTTAGTCAGATATGTAGTTTGCAAATATTTTCTCCCAGTCTTTAGCTTGTCTTTTCAAAGGCAAGTTTTCCAAAGACTTCTTAAAAGGACTTTCAGATCTTCTGGGTAGATGAACACATGGAAATTAGGATAGAGTTGCACGCCCAGACACCCTGGAATTTCTGCGCACTTTCCCCATACCTGCTGTTTGCATCTCTTCTGTCTTGCTGATCCTGAGTTATATCCCTTTATAATAAACCAGTAATCTAGACTAAGCAAATAAATATTATAGATAATAAGAACCAGAATTCTCATTAAGGTGGAAGAGAGTTACAAATATAGATGAGAACAGAGTAAACCAGGTGGTGATGAACTGGAATTGGAGATGCAAATGGAAAATGCAACTTTCACAAGCTCCGGTTACCATACTCAACTATGAAGACTGTAATTCACTGAAAAAAACAGGACAAATCAAACAACAAAAGGTCATGATGAAAAGAAAGAAAATAATTTACAATAGAAATTCTGAAGTTAATCACATGTGGTATTTTCCCTGGACGGGTGGTGTATTGGGGGACTGTCTCTAAATGAAGGATTCCAGAGAAGTTTTACTCCAAATATTTTAGTAGGGTAGGGGAATAGCTCTTGCGCCAAGTTTAGTCAACTAATGCAAACTTTCCTACATCAAATTTTGCTGCCTGCACCTACTGTTAAGAATAATAACTGTATCTGAAAGATTTTTTTTAAAAGGTGGTGGGGTATTTCATAGAGCAAAATTTAATAATTTTCAATTCCTCCTTTTATGGATTATGCCTTCAGTGTCAAACCTAAGAACTTTTTGCCTATTCTAGATCCTGAAGATTTTCCCCTATGTTTTTTCTAAAACTCTTTTAATTTATGTTTTACATTTAAGTCTATGATCCATTTAGAGTTAATTCTTGTATAAGGTGTGAGGTTTAGGTGTTTTTTGTTGGTTTGTTTGTTTGTTTGGTGTGTATACTTAAGGATACCCAGTTGCTTATCTTCATTTATTCAAGAGGCTATTCAATATCTTTCCTTCTTTTCTATGTTTTACATTAACATATAGTAAAATCAAATTGTATAAATTCATACAAGTACTATGACAATCAATATACAAACAATTATATCACCACAAAAATCTCTCATACTACCCTTTTGTGATTACATACTTCCTCTACTCCTAACCCCTGGCAACCACAGATTTGTTTTTGTCACTATACTTTTGTCTTTGTGAGAATGCCATATAAGTGAAATCAAACAGTATGTAACCTTTTGAGAATGACTCATTGGTCAGCATAATGCCATTGAAGAATAATGTATCCAAATAGTTGCATGTATCATACTTCATATATTTTTTTAAATTTAGCTTTCCGGTTGTTTATTGTTGGTAAATAGAACTCTGATTAAATTTTGTGCGTACTAACTCAGTATTGGAGAGGGCAAAAGCCCTTCCAGTCTCAGCTGTAAATCTCAAATTGGCCTGTTATGCCTTTTTGGCTATTTCACTACTCTTCCACTCTCAGGTCCATCAGACCTTCTTCTTCTCACCTGCACATCAGTACCATGCAGGTCTTATGGTTCTACCCACCTGCTTTTTATATTTAGGTATTTAAGGGGATACCTTGTCACATTAACATTTTGTTGTAAATATTGTCCATGGGTGTTTGGTTTTGCTACCTAATTTTCCTGTCTGTTTTTATTGAGGGATTCTGAGAGGCAGAAAAATAATATTGCTCAAGAAGGTCCAAGATGGCAGATTAGGTAAACGTATGCCTACTGCCTCTCAGGATTACACCAAAATTGCAAATAAATTATAGAACTATCAAACTCATGAATCATTTGAAGACTAGCTGAAAAGAACCCCTATAACTAAGGATATAAAGAAGGGGCCACATCAAGACTGGTAGGAGTGGCAGAGACCCAAAGTGGGCTGACCTAAACCCCACAGATAGTGGTGGAATACCAAAAGGGACACCTTGGTGGCGGAGATCCTCTGGAACAGGGAGGGATTCCTGCCCCACACCAGGCTCCCTAGTCCTGTGTTGGGAAGAGGAGTTCCCACAATACCTGGCAGTGAAAATCAGCGAGGACTCTGTCCATCCCAGTGAGATGGAAGGTGACTAGAAACCCAGATGCCCTCTTGAAGGGCCTGCACACAGACTTACTCACTTGCAAACACTTGCCTGGTCTCCAGTGGAGGGACAGCAACTTGAGAGGTGCCACAGACATACTGGGAAAGACTAAATTGTGTGAATTTGGAGCGAGGGCTGGGGGACAGCAGCCACTGCCCCAGTGTTGAGCCTGCCTCACATGTAGTCTACAGGAGGGTGCTGTCTTTGCTATGTTGAATGTTCCCCCAAAGGGCCAAATCTTAGACTGCATTTGTCTGGTAAAATCTGCACATGTGTACCACCTTGGTGACACCCTAAGTCTCTGCCCTACACAGCTAGTACTGCATCGCCTGTGTCTCTCTCAGCTCCTGGGCTCCAGCCCTGCTCTATGAACAGTGAATCCTTTTAAAGCAGCAGACAGCCCCATGGTGGCCCAGCAAAAGGTGGTGGTGGGCAGAGAGCCACAATTTCCACTGTAGCCTTACTTGGGTGTCTTTCAGAGATCTGCAGACCTGAGGCGAGCAGTGGCTGCGGTGTTCT